TTTGGTAATCGTGGATCTCTAATTGGACCACAGGTAATAATAACAAGAATAAATGGCTGTCCAAGTTTGTCTTTTTCCGAAGCAACATATGGTTGCATCCATGCAATCCCTTTTTTATTATTATTAAATTCTGCAACTTCTTTCTCTAGACGATTAAACATGCCTTCACCATTTTGATCACCTACATGTAGTTCACGGTACTTTTGATAAAGATAATATACATCATTTCTGTGCGGAATTATCGCTCTGTCAGCTAAAATTTCTTCATTATTTTCATGTTTTAGCTGCATTTGTCCCCAGTATGTATGATATGCGCTACCAGGATTATGCCCAGTGTTAAAAAGCTCAAAGAGTGCATTTTTTGTTTCATTAGAAACTGGACGAAAACTCATAAAATGGCATTTGGTAATCGTGGATCTCTAATTGGACTACAGTTAATAATAACAGATGATTGTAAGGCAGAAAAAATAGTATTACAAAATACTTGGAAACATGCAACCTTACTTTTATGTACCTTCTATTTTTTGCAAGCAATGTGGAGGTGGCTTTGGGATGGCAATCATAATATCCATAAAAATGATCGTGCAATACTAATTGAGCTTATAAAAAAATTAGTTTTTTCGAAAACAGAAGTTGCACTTAATCAAGCATACATAGAATTAACCAGTAGTCAAACCTATTTAAAATATTATAACTTCCAAAATCATTTTAAAATTTCTTGGAGTCGTCATTCTGAGTGGGCCATTGCATTTCGTCAGGGACTACTAGTCCGGAATAATAATACCAATAATTATGCGGAGGCTGGAATTAGAATTTTAAAGGATATTATTTTTAATCGAGTACAAACATATAATGTCGTGCAGATTTTTCAATTTATCATAAACACAATGGATCTTTACTACGTTCGTAGATTATTATCTGTAGCTCATAACAAGTTAGATAGTTTTATAGCACTTCGTTTTAAAATTACAGGATGGCAAATTGGGATAAAAGAAGATATCGAAGTCGAGAACCTAGATTCAATGATATTTAGACATAGGAGTAGTAAAGATCAAAATATGTGGTATCGTATTGACATGAGACTTGGAACTTGTGAATGTGATTTAACAGGAAGACCATGTAAGCATCAGGCTTCTGTAGCAAAGCACTTCCATATATGTGGATTAAATCAGATACCCACGATGTCTGCAAGTAAACGATATTATTATGCTTATTTGGCACTAGGCGAAAAACACAAGTCACTTAGTTTTTATGCAGACCTTCATCAGGAACAGATTGAAAAGAATGAACATGCAAATTTAATAGAAAATAAAGAGCTAACGTTCAATAATATCACTATAATAAATGAAAATAATAATAACAAAGAAAACATAGCTTCACTTGAGTCTTCATCTTCTGTAACTTCCAAAAATGTTGATAATGATGATGACAACGATAGTGTTGATAATAGTGTTTGTAGTAATGACAATGTTGATAATGATAATATTGATAGTGACTACAGTACTAGTAGTAATGATAATAATGATAATAGTAACAGTAAAGATGGTAATGGTGACGATAATACTATAAGCAAACTTCGTTAGTTCTGCAGTGATTTAGAGGATCTCCTAAAACAAAACGTTTCTGAATTGAATAATAGCATTCAAAGATTTATAAAATTATATAAAAAACATCGGTCTAAAAAAGATACTTATATTCTTCCATCTGTTGTATCCTTTTTTCAAACATGTGATAGAGATACAGGTCGGACCATGGGTAATAGTCGTCGGCCTGGTAGAAAAAGAATATGGGTTCAAGTTGCTGCTACTTCACGATGTAGAGAAGGTTCAAAACGTGGAATCAAGAAGATATGTCAAGGAAGACCAAGAAAAAGATCACAAATTAGTAATACTAAAACACAAGAATTTGACTGCTTTAATATGCCAACACGAAAAAAATACCATAAAAAAAGTCCACATAACTTGAGCAAAGCTTTATCAGAAAATCAACCTAATGGTGCAAAATAAATAGTTTCATAAATTTTTTTTTTTATGTAAAATCTTCTTTTACTGTTTTATGCAAAATTGATATGTATACTGTACAAGTTATCGGTATTATATATTATGTATTATAATAAATTTTATATATATGATATTGTTACACAACATCTAGTTAGATGTTGATTTATGATCCAAACTGGGCACAGATTCAAAATTCGCTCTTTTCAAACCAGCTACTAAGGTTGTCAAATGAGTTTTTTAGAGATAGGATGTTAAATTTGTCAAGAAAAAAAGTTTTAGGAATATTGAAGAGTAGTTTGATGTTAAATCTTAAATCTGAAGAGATAGTGAAGTATTCTTGTTCTTGGTCAGTATGTTCAATTGTAGA